ACATCCAATCTAAACCATCCTTCCTTGAGCTTAAAACTATTTCTCCTTGTCCTACCACCCTTGAAATATTGAGCTGCTTAAGGCCCTGTCCTGTTACGATCACAGACTCACCCATCCCAACAGTGGCTGCAATTTAATTCTTTAATCTCATGGCCTGTTCTGGTTGTAGCTATCCCGCATCACAAAAAGGTACCCACCAGGTGCTATTTCTGCCTCTGACTGAGGTCATTTCTCCTTTGTGTCATCCTAATGAATCTCAAAGCTTGCAGTACAAAGTAGCAGCTGGATCCTAGGGCTCATGAGAAGCATTTCCAGGTGCCTGAACCAAACTAACTTAGCTTCTGAGAGTTTTGTGATTAATTAAAATCTGTACTAATTAACAAACTGTATTATATTAACAGTTTAATCCTTATAGATTTCAGAGCATCTGGCTGGAAACATCTTTATGGCTTGTACCCATCTCTGCATCTCATTAAACAGCAGAGAATCCATGTGGGAGAGAACTTCGGTCTGAGGTTTCCCTGCTGTTCAACACATCAGCTCTGACTTAAGCATTTCCCATGATAGGAGAATTCATTATGTCTTATTTGTCCATGTGGATTTTCTCCGGTCTTTCAGAGGTTGAGGCTCAGTGTTAGCAGACAAATCTCGTTTTACAAGTTACAGAAAACTTCTAGGAACTTGATAAGCATTGGAGCCCTCCCTCTGTGCCCAATTTTGCTGAGGTTACAGGAGGCTCCTCTGTATCCCTGTCGTTCTCACGGGCACTCTTTCACACATGAAAGAAGCACCCACATATACTTCTGTCTGTCTGAGGAGCCTTTCTGAAAGGCTCTTAGCAAGTTGGTTTGTTTGCACCCATTTCAATCTGATGCTGGTAGTTTCAGAATGGACTGAAAAAGCCAGTGTTCAGTGTTTCCTACCGGTGTGTTTGTGTGGAGTGAATCTCTGCTCAGCATTCTGATTTGTTGCTATCTTTATCCATATTTCAAATGCTGGACCTGGAAGTGAGATGTTCTGGCAGCTGAGATTCAGGTACTGAAATATTTATGGAGTCCCCAGGTACAAACAAATGAATTGTGTTGCCTAGGAATTGGACTCAATAAAAGCTCCTGAGAGAGGATTGTCTCAGTTGGACAGCGGTCTTTGTCAAAGAAAACATGAAGAAAAAAAAGACATAGTTTGAAAGTTTCAGTTTAAACAAGCTGGGAGGGGAGGCGTTTTTTAACAAACAGTTTTGAAAGTGTCTTCAGGACAGAAATTAGCATTAATCAGTAAGAATAAAATCAGCAAACAGTTCCTCTGTTCTTAGGAAGCATTTTAGTAACCTCCCAGAATAGGAAGGCAGAACACCATGGGCAGAACACAGGCAGCATCTCTCTCACTCCAGGAATTCAGTGCATGTTTTCAATTAGAAAATTCTGTATATGAAATGCATTCATATGCTTTTAAGCTTTTGTTGACTTGCATCACTTCATTTTTTTTATGTGCTGAATTGTTCACAAAAACCTTTACAAATTTCCTATTTGTGACAAGCAAATGTGCTCCTGGTCCAATCTAACTCAGACATAACGTGCTAATACAAGCTGGGATCCTTTTTGTGTAATACTTTCTTCCTCTCTAAAGGCATTTAGTTTAGTAGACTGCAGGCTGTGACTAGAAAGCAGAAACATTTGACATCTCATTCCATCCCTGTTCTGAATGCAGTGGGACATTGCCTAAATTCCTTTGGCATACTGTTCCTCAGCTAGCATCCCCCGTGGGATGAGCATAATAGCAACATCACAGTGGCATTTTGAGACTGGGTTCTCTCTAGCTGGGGAGGTTTATTGGACTATAAATTGTAGTAACTGCAGCCATTACTGTGCAAAAGCTCCTAGTGGTCTTTGCTGAAAACCTTTTTATTTTCTTCATTTTGACATTCCCATACAAAACTGCCAAGCAAACTCTGGAGTTTACATTTATGAAGGCTGTAATCATTCCATGAAGTTCAAGAAATCTGGCAGTGATCTGGAAAACTGAGGAGGTAATAAAAGGTTACCAGCAGGAATGCAGAGCTGCCTTGTATGGTAGTGGAGAGAAGAACCAGCGCATATTTTGATCTTATAGTGCAGCTCTTGTCTTTGGGGTGGGCCTTGATTGTGTAGCTCTGCCTGCATTGGGAACGGGTGGCAGTGTAAACATTCCTCTAATAACACAGAGGTTCTCTTAAACATTTGTAAATAGTTCAGCAATTTTGAGAAACGGGGTGGAGCCTGGAGATGGCTAAAGAAAGAAGCATTATTCTCATACTTGATGCACTCGCTGTCCCAGACTCAGTCCTGCTCTTAATGTAAACCTTTGCCACTTTGCCTCCAGCGCAATGGCACGATGTGCGTCTGACCTGACGTGGATGGCACACGCTGTTCCACAGCTGCAGCTGTGCTGCATGCAAGCCTGCCTCAACCCTGACACCCTGCCCTGTGGGTTTGTTTCCACCGAGAAAGGAAAGGCGCAGTATACTGGCAGTGTTGTGTTTTGGAGGAGATGCTCTTTTGTTAATGACGTTACTTATGGCAGAAGAAACGGAGGGGAAAAAGAACAAAATTGTAAAATCAAACTCTGTGAATTTTTGCTGGCTTCACTTAAGTCAGAAAAGTAATTTTGCAGTATTAAATGTGAAGCCCACAGAAGGTGGGAAATTCTGAACATCAGGCATTTTGCATTTTTTGGTTCATTAGTTAATTAGCTTCATAAGAATAAGGAACTTTTGAGGAAGAATAGTAATACCATGCTGACTTCCACTGCTAGTTATGAAACTTTCCAGGGATGGGGCATCCACCACATCTCAGGGCAACCCGTTCCAGTGCCTCACCACTCCTACTGCATAAGACTTTTTCCTTACATCTAACCAAAATCTCCCCTCTTCAAACTTGAAGCCATTTCCCCTTGCTCTATCACCACAGACCCTGCTAAAAAGTTTGTACCCTTTTCTGTAGCTCCCTTTTAGATACTGAAAGGCTGTTCTCAGGTGTCCCCGTAGCCTTCTCTTCTCCAGGCTGAACAGCCCCAGCTCTCTCAGCCTGTGCTTGCAGGAGAAATGTTCCATCACCTGTATTATTTCTGTGGCCCTTCTCTGGACGTGCTCCAACAGGTCCTTGTCTTACTTGTACTGATGACTCTACATCTGGATGGGGGTATTCCAGATGGGGCCTCACTAGCACAGACTAAAGGGGCAAGAATACCTCCCTTGCCCTGCTGGGAGCCTAGGATATGGTTGGCTTACTGGGCTGCAAGGGCACATTGCTGGCTCATATCCAGCTTCCCATCCACTATTACCCCAGTTCTTTTTCATCAAAGCTGCACTCAATTTCATCCCCCAGCTTGTATTGATAGTGGATGTTGCCTTGATCCAGTTGCAAGACCTTGCACATGGATTTGTTGAACCTTGTGAGGCTCACCTGGGCCCACTGCTCAAGCCTATCTAGGTCTCTCTGGATGGCATCCCGTCCCTCTGGTATATCAACCACATCCCACAGCTTGATGTCATCAGCAAACTTGCTGAGAGTGCACTCAACCCTACTGTTGATGGCACTGATGAAGACATTAAAGATTGTTGGTCCCAGCACTGACCCCTGTGGGACACCACTCATCACAGATCTGGACATGGAGCCATTGAGCACCGCTCTCTGGATTCTATCTTCCATCCAGTCCTTCATCCATTGAACAATGCACCCATCAAATCCATATCTTTCCAATTTACAGAGAAGGATGTTGTGGGGTTTTGTGTCAAAGGTCTTACTGAAGTCCAGATAAGATTACATCGGTGGCTCTTCCCTTGCCCATTGGCCATTCGTACAGGACCAGAAGTCTCAAGGTGTCATTCTGGAGATGAGTTTTCTTCTTTGCACTGCCAACCACTTGTAGAACACCACTAGCTTCTCTAACTCTGCACTTTCCTTTTTTCAAATCAGGATGGAATCTTCCAGAGTCAACTAAAAACTTCAAGTTTGCAGGTGGGAAGTGGTGGAAGTTCTGCTCCAGGTGTCTGTCTGCATTGACATTCCAGTTTCATCCAGTTGTACAGGTTTTCATGACTAACATCATCTGCCCATTGCACATGGGCCTCTCATCATCCCCAGCCTCACAGTTTCTGAGCTATGGCTCTTGGATCAAGGTACAGCTTCTTACATTTCAGAAATACTCCAGTGACAACACTGCAGGTAACTTTCACTGCTTAGTTCAGCCAACTGAGCTAGAACTTCATATTAACTACAACTATTTATTTACTTACTAGGTGACAATATTTTAAATTAAAATAAAAACTGCAAAATCCATTGATCTAAAACTATCCAAAATGGTCTTCTTAAGATTGCTTGCTTCTAAATATTTTTTTGCTATGGCAACACCATCACTACTAATAATTCAGAGGCTATTTAGCAGGTGGGAGAGCTCAGTGGCACAGGAAAAGGTTTAACTCACAAGTTCTTCAACTTTCAGATCAGTAAGAACATGTTCCCACTGACACAAATCTGTGGGAATGAAATAGGATGTGTAATTTAAGCCTCCCATCTGAAAGGAGCCTGTAATACGTGGTGTTACACAGGCCTTGGTCCCATCAGCTGAGGTAACAGGAAGAGGGAGCTCCGAGGGAAGGGTCCCCTAGAGAGTTCTGTAACAGAACAGGAATTAGAAGCCTTTGAGGAATGTCACAGCCCTACCCCATTATCTACCACACATCCTTCACCTCACATCAGTAGGGACAGGGCTGTCAGACATAAAAGAAGCTACAGCCAATCTGAATAATCCCGTCCAGAAATTGCTGTCACGGGAATGAAGTGCACAAGAAAGATGGAGGCATAATTTTTGTTGAAATGTCATTCTTTTACACCAAACCAATGCCATAATCTCTGGTACTGTTAATATTGATCCTTAAAAAAACAACATTCAAAAGGGGCAGCACAGAAATCAGACCTGGCCATCTGCAAACATGTATTGATGCAAATTATTCATTTCAGAGCTGAGAGTGGACTAAAACCCTCATGCTGCTGCAAGAGGCCGCATGGGCTTGTGTACCTCCACAGGACCAGAGCTGTTTGCAGGGCTCACTAAGGAAAGTGTACCACAAACAGGTAGGTCTTCGTTGACATGTCCTTTATGATATGTTTGCTAGTAATGCCAGAACTGAAGTGGTGGGAGAATTCTGCAGATAACTGCAGTGCCTCTCCTTTGCTGTTTCAATCAGAGTGTCTGTGCAGGTCTGAGCTCAGCCCTCTGCGTACTGGAGCAGGCTATAAAACTGATGGATCTGCAAAACAGCCAGGGGTTTACAGAAATACCAACATCCACATTTCATGTATCAGTAAAAGCTCTCCTAAACAAACTAATAAAGAGTGCTTCACACCAATGAATAGATCAAGTTGCTAATTTCCCTTTCCCTTTTGGCAAGAAAGTGGTAGAAGGGTAGGAATTGATCCATCTCACAACAGATTTCTCTTTTGCTGGTGCTACTTGTCAGCACCTGCCACCATAAGCAGATTTCACTTCCCACAATAGATAGGAGAGTAAAGTGGTAGGCCTCTGCCTTAGGTGAGACTGTTCTCAGAGTGGAGCTGTTTGCAGTGGAGCTTGTCAAACTGTGAGTCTTCCTGGACAAGCAGAATTGCCAAACACTGTGGCAACTGGAGTCAGCAATGCAAACGTAAAGTTCTGTTCTATAAAAGCTGCATATAAGTCAGTTTGTAATGCTGGCTGAAATGTTTTCTTTCCTTTGTTTGGACTAGATTCATAATAAGTCAAATAGTTTAATGAAAGTCAGAACAGAGCTACTTAAGCCAATCTCTGCTTGGCCTAAAACAACAGTAATGTAGATGAGAAAAGTATTCTACTCTTTCAGGTCATTTTGGAAACAAAGCTGGGTGGCTAATGAGTCTAAATTTATTTTTCTGGAAATTTGTCACAAATGCAACATGTTTGTTTTGGCAGAATGATAACATGCTATGTTCCCCACGTTCAAAGCCAAGGCGTAACATTGTTAAGTTGCTTCTATTTTATCTTTCTGATGTGTGCCCAAATAAAGTTTAGCATCTCAGATGCAAAATGCAACATCATTTTTATAGGCCATTTATCTAGATTGCTGTGAAAAAGCATGTTTAGGACAGCATTAAAAAAAAACAAACACACTTTGTGCTGCTTAAATAGAAAACTTCAGTGAAAGCAGTTTTTACCGGTTTACAGGGATAATTTAATGGACTCAAAAAGGTGCTCTGTGTTCTTGCAATATCATATTTTTTCCATGTGTACTTTATAGCTTGCCAGGAAACAACCACGCATTAATACTGCAATTAAATAGCAAAATGGGTAAAGCAGGAGATTATGGGCAGCTAGCTTGGATGTTCCCACTGGCCTTTTGAGTGTCTCTTCCCATGGACTGCAGAGGAAATTTGGACTTCTAAACTCATATGTCCTGAATTGCACCGAAGGTAAATGCCTGGCAGGGGCTTGGTAGACCATTACGAAAATGTAATAGTTGTATATGAAATCTGTTTCCACTTCTGTGTCCGTGCTCTTAACATTCCTGTCTTTGTGAGAAGGACCCTATTGAAAATCACTTTCAGGTGCTCAGCATTCAGCCAAATGTGAGCTCTTCTTCTACACCTTCACTTCCTTATGCTAAAGAGAGCAGCACGGATGGGTGACAAAGAAATCTGTTCAGGTCTGGCCTTCACATTTCAGAGCTGCAACAGCACATTAGAGCAATGATATCAATAGTGATTTCAAGTGCTAAATGCCATTAAAGATTCAGTGCTTGATCCTGCAAACAGATGAGCACTCTGGCCCTGCTCCAGCAAAACACTTAGAAATATTTATGGCACTTTTCTTCCATTTATGCTTGCTATTAGAAGCTTTGCTGTATTGGGTGAAAATAGACACTTGCAGGTTCATGTTACGTATTCTAAGCCATCTGAAAGGAAGCTGTCGGGCTGAAGCTGGTCATCAAAGCTCCACCTGGTGCTAACGAGGGGAGGTCAGCATCTATAAGGCTGATTCCATGACGCTATTTTAGCCCTTATTTCTGAATGAATGGAGCGTGTTCCTCTCCTCACCCTCTCCTGATGGCAGACCTGTACCTTAGAGTGGACACCAGATTTGCGGAGAGTCAAAGTAGTTCAGGTTAGCAGTCTGTTCATTTCTGCAGAATTTATACCGATTTCACATTTACTGTACATCCTTTGAGAATTACCTTTAAAACATTAAATCTTACAAGCTCAAAACACTGATATGATTTTAATACAAAGCTGAAACCTGCATATCTCTGTTATCACATGTAAATAGAATGACAAAATAAAAATTATCTGTCTCCTAATTTATTTATTACACAAACACAACGTACAAATGCAAGGGATCAAATCACTTGCCTACCAAAATTCAACAAAGAAGTTAATTCTTTTCTTGCTATCTATTACTGTATTTGTGGATTTTTATCACACCCATAGTGATAAAAAAAAAAAGAAAGTAAATTTGTATCTCGTTGTCTGATGGAAAGAATTCTGTCAGGGAGAGGTGATTGCATGCTGGGAGTGGAACTCGTATCTAGATGTGGAATCTCCATCTAAAATGGATAATTTGCTCAGCACTTCTCATGTCTGAAAGTGTTTCCACAAGCTGCTGGTCATAACTGAAGCTCGAGATTCTCAGAAAAGCAACCACCCACTATTGTGGAAAACTCCATATTTCACACTTGCCAAAAGCCTCCTTGTGTGGTCTTTAGAACTTCCGAGTGGTAAAAATCAGAAAAAAACTGATATATCTAATTTATTTTTTCTCTGGAAGAACACTCAGTACTGAAAGGAAGATGCAGAAAGCTGTTTGCATATTAATCATAAGAAACTGATATGAGTGGATAGAATGTGGATAGAAGATGTAAAATGTCACTTGATTCATGGCTATATTTTAATTCCATGTAGTATTAATAAATTAAAGCTTTTATCACAACCTTGAAACAACACCTTTTTTAATGTGGTAAAATACCAGTTCAGGCAGTTTAGCAGTAGGTGCTTTCCTGAGCAAGTGAGTACTTCTTAACTGACCATCAGCTGAACTGCAGTGTGTAGCGATAGGACAAGGACTAATGGCCTAAAACTTAGAACACAAGAAGTTCTGTACAAACACGCAGAAGAACTTCTTTACAGTAAGGGTGATGGAGCCCTGGAACAGGTTGTCCAGAGAGTTTATGTAGTCTCCTATGGAGATATACCCATCTGGATGCCTACCTGTGCAACCTATTGAAGAGGTGTTGGACACCATTAAGCTCTTGGAGTTCCTTCCAGCCTCTTCAGTTCTGTGATTCTGTGTCACTAAACATGCATCTCAGCCAGTCTCATGGAGGATTTTTTTTATAAACTCATTTTCCTTTGCATTTGCAACAGAATAGGAGAACACATGGAGCAGTCACTACCAATAGTGGATAGCTCATGACATCTTACCATCATGAAGGCAAAAGAAGTTGGAACTGGGAACCAGAAGAACTTCTGACTATTTCACCAATGAACTGGATTTGGAGTGGTGGAGAGAAGGTAAGACTTTCCTATTTACTACAGTTCCCTTTGTTTTTTGCTGTTTTTGTTTTCTGAAATATAATTATATTGCAGTAGTTCTATTAAATTATGTGAATCCACAAGTTCACCCGCTGAAGGAATAATTCACACAGGATTAGTTACTTGTATAAGTAACACCTGCCTGACGTTCCAGGAAAGCAACCGATTTGCATCCTCCAGCATTTTTAATCATAGATTTCTTTCTGCTGAATCAGGACTGAAAATTGAAATGCCATTCACCTTTTCTTTCTCATATTTTCCCTAAACACAAATAAACTTCTAATGTGTGGTAAAAGTAAGATAATTTTCCTAATTTGGAATACTTTTTCACGAGTCATTGAAATGCACACATATTTCTTCTAAATACAGGATTATAATGTGTTTTGTTTTACTTCTCACATCAGCTTCAGGTCTTCCTTCAAATCACATGGCAATGTGCTTGTGACAAATCTACTGGTGCACATTTGTTTTCGTGGGATCTCCTCTGATCATTTAGATATCTGACTTGAGTTTACATGGATACTCAGCATTTATGTATTTAAAACCTTCTGATCATTTTAATTCAATCTGTAAAATGCCAACCTAAACTGAAATTTCTCACTTAGAAGAAGTGATAAAATCAAAGTATATGTGTCAAAAACCCCCACAGTGTACTAATAATTAAAGGTGGCTAATTGCCCTGCACTATAGCTTGTCTGTAAGGAACCAGAGAGGTCAGTGGATCTCCTTGTGAATGTAGGAGTCTGAGCAGGATATAGGGCTGGGCATAAGTATCTGTTTGCTTTCCTAAGAAATGGATTTAAAATATTCCTGGGAGGGCTTTCAGGCTCTGCTCAGATGAATGTGTTCCATCTTGAAGATGGATAATACTGATAACACACAGATGTTGTTTATTTGTAGAAACCCATTTCTTAGATTGTAGAACTATCAAGGGCATACCGAGGAGAAAAGATTTTCCACTGTGGTGCAGCCCACCCTTGCTAAGGAGGCATTTGGCCCATTCCATAACCAGACAGACTCGTGGATCATCTCACAGATGTCTCGTGGGTAGAAATGTGCAGAACAGTATGTTTGCAGGGCCAATGGATTCAGGGAAGTTCTTTAGAAAGTTCTTGGTAGCCCCAAAAGCTGCAAAAAAACCCATTGAATCCAACAGCTCCAAAGTCAGTCTAAGAAAGATGTGTGAACCAGGAAAACAGAAGGTAGTTCACTGAAATGCATTTTCATCCTTGAATCGTTTTTAAAAAATCAACTTATTGACATTAGAAAAATATAAGTGTGGTATTGAACTAGAGCTTTGTTTTGCTTGTATTTGGTAGCATTCACTGCCTTCTTACACACGGAGTCTTCCAGTTCCTCCATAACGTTGTGTAAACTTTTGCTTTTTGTGTTCCGTGTCAAGCAGTGATCAAGAGGAGACAATGTGCAAAGAATAGGAGTTGTTCCTCCTACCTCTCTACACCTAGAGGCAATAATATTGACAGCAGTGACAGCTCACTGCGATTTTTCACAGTGACTTTTTTAAGAAAGTGCTTTGCTTTGCTGCTGATTCAGCTTTTGTGTCCGCTCCATGTGCAGCAGCTAGGGTCAGCTCCTGGATCTTCAGGATGGCTCTGTGCTGCCTTGGGCACTGCCCACACAGCTGTGTGTTGGAAGAAGGGGCAGTTTTATCACTCTGCACTTAATTTCCATCTTCTTAACAGCAGCTTATTTCCCCTACTCTTTATCTTGTATATGTGGCCAGAACAGTTTGTCTCAGATAGGGTCTGCTTTTTTCTTAGTCCCACAGACTCAGAGCAAGCCCAAATGCACTTTGAGGTTGGCTTTAAAATTGTGACACTAAGAGATCAGGAAAAAAAAAAGCAACTCATGCCTTCTTTTTGTCCTGTGTCTGGTTTTAAACTCTGATGGCTTTTCTGCACAGTTGAGCAAATTGGAATATTTTCTTATTGAGCAGTAATTGAGGCTCCTGACTATCATAAGAAAACAGGAAAAAGTGCTATACGAAGAACAACAAACATCTTGAGAGTCATAATAAAATCAGGGTTCTATTAACTTCAGTTGCTATGTCTGCACTGTCCTCATCACAACAGGCAACCAATACCAAGTACAATTGTATTGCATCATGTAGACAGCTGCTGGTCTCAGGGCCATTATGCTGCTGAGGAAAAGAAAGCAGAAGATCAAAGTACAGTTAAGTGTCTCTTAAGTAATTTTCTCCCTGACCTATTTATGTTCATGATCATTTTACTTGCAACAGGAAAGTCATAGAACACACTATGAAATTCAATAACATTTTCTTTGGGAGTATTTCAGCTGAAGCTACACTAAAATATGATCTCAGTGGTGTGAAGTTTTATTATCAGACTCACAGTGAAGAGTTTGGGAACACGCTCTATGTACATTCTTGAGTGCATGAAAACCAACAACAGTAACAACAAAAACCTATAGAGCTGAGTATGAATTGGGACCAATTCAGAGATCTCCCTTTGGCTTCAGCAGAAATAGAACTGAACTTCTCTTAAGTTTTATCTTAAGTCTAGATCCACAGTTACCGTTTAGTCATTTCATCTTTCCTGTATTAGTAAAAATAGAGAGGTGAAAGAGATCTTCGTAGATCACTACCTCATTGTCTGACAGAGAAACTATTTCTCACCAGTGGTTCTTTAGCCTGTCCTAATTGTTCATAGGGTAGAAGAAACTGCAGTATCCCTTGATCATTTGATGTAATTCATTGACAGGCATACTAAGCTAAGAACACTTTTTGCTGGAAAACACTCTCAAACTGTTAAGAGTATCAAAATCTTTGTAGAAACAGTGGGAACATGGAAACTTGTCTTGCTTGGATATCATCCACTCTAAACTGATTAAGCAGTCATACATTATTTACACCTGATGGAGATTTTTCCCTATCTCGAAGCTGAGGCCTTCTCCTATGCTAGAAAGTATTGATTTAAAAGAAGCATGGGATACTCTATAAAATAGCTTCTCATGTAAGTAACTCAACGTTCTAGAGTTTTTCCAATTTCTTCTTCTCAACTGACAACCTTGTTAAAAGAACACATTCATGATCTTTGCAATGTGGCCATACAGAAATGCAGTCAGGACAAGAAACCCTTCCCTCATGGGTGCAATGCTCTGAGCTCTACCACCCAGTGATCACCTGGTGACTCACATGCAACTAGCCAGTCCCAGACCTGCTTTAAGTTTGTTCAATTTAGGGAACTTTAATGAAAATTTCTTAAAATAAGGATGAAAAAAGACCCCTTTTTGACTTTGCTGTTGTTTAGCTTAGGATCACTAAGCACCGAGGTTTCTCATCACATTTGGAAACATACTCTAGTTAAACACTGAAGGGAAAAAATATTTTGAAATAACTGTCTTTGAAAGCTATGCAGCAAATGCAGCTGTAGTGATGAATAATGCTTGTTGGCATTCCCTGAACATATTGCAGATCATTTACAGGTGTCAGTGAAATGCCTACGGAGTGCCAGGAGCAAGGAGTGAATTACTGCTCTTCACACCGATGAAGCCATTTTCTTTAAACAAAATGCAAAGTTAAGGTACAACATGAACTTTCCAAACAACGTTTTCTTCTTATCTGGATAAGTGATAACTTATTTCTGGATTGTTTCTGGATACTTATTATGTTTTTATAACTTGTTTCAGCTCTATCACTGGGCAATCTCTAGATGCATTTTAGGCATTTTGTCCCAATTGCTGTCCTTGAGCTGCTTTACCACAGTCCCTGCCTGCTGCCTGATTATTTTTCTCTGGGATTTGTATGAGACTGAAATCCAGCAGGATGAACTCCATCCAATAGCCAGGCATGTTGCAAAACTCTCTCATTAGTTTTTGTCCAGCAGGAGCTTAGCAGGATTAGTTGAGGAACTTTATGTATGTTATGCAGTTATCCAGGTATCTGCTAGTAGGGAGTACTTTGTCCTGATGAATTCTAAAGAATACAAAACCTACTTTTACTTTTATTTAAATAGTTATTTCTACTATAAAACAAAAGAGTTCTTCAGACTAACCGGGATAATGCAACGCACAGCTACAACCCAAGCAGGCAGCCAACCAGAGAATGACCCTTTATCATAGTTTTGCATTGTTCTCTTAACTGCGTGATGCCAAAAAATAATAATAATAAAGAGAAATCCTTTGTTCCCTTTCACTGGCGTAGAAGGTCACAAAACAGACAGTTCCTTCTTGATTACACTCTAAATAAATAAAAGCCTGATTCACAGAGGCGAAACAATCATCTGCCAACTGCCAAACCCTATAAAGGGTAAATCTGCTTTTACTTTGTGAGCCAGAGCGATGAGTCACAGAGGCTATGACTAATACCAGCAAGAATTGAATGTACCCACCAAAATACCGTCCCTTTGTAGTACAGTGGGGTTACCCAATAGCAGACCCTGATCCAACAGGTGCTGCTGGTCAAAGCCCTGGGACTGTTCTGGGGCAGTTGCTGGTGTGCATTTACTGTATTTGCAGGCATAAATTCAGCATGGGGAGTTGAGTAATTTGGTTCTTCAACTGGGAAGCTAGCCACTGTTGAAATAACACCCTCCTCTCCTCCCCATATCCATTAGCTGCTGCTTTCAGAACATGCCGGAAATGGGGGTTCCTCCCAGGTCCTGGAGAAGCATGCTGGATGGTGACAGGAGGCTTTTGAAAAGGAAAACTTGCAGAGAAAGCTGCAGGGACCAAGAGAAACATTAATGTCGAAGCATAGGTCCTCTTTTTAGCTTTTTAATTTGGCTTAGCACTGAAGTACTCTGACAGTTGAGCTCAATGATCTTTGCAAGACCCTCTCAACTGGAACAATTTGTTATCCTATCCTATCCTATCCTATCCTATCCTATCCTATCCTATCCTATCCTATCCTATCCTATTCTGTCCTGTCCTGTCCTGTTCCATTCCACGCTGTTCTGTTCTGTTCCTGAGAAGCTTACACTCCAAGAGGCTCTTGAA